AAAGTGGTTGTTAAAATTGTTACCTGAGAAAGATTTTTAGAACTGTTGATATGAACCAAGTCACCACACTACTCATCTTCATTTGAAGTAAAAACTATTCCACTAGCAACATTGCTAATACGATTTTCTTTACAGTTGTTTTATATCTGAGTTTCTGGATTTCATTTTCTTAACAAATGCTTCTATTCTTACTCCAGGTCCTGCACCATGATTACACAATTAGGACTCTGATGACTGGTGTAGGGCAGGGAATCTCTCTGGGAATCCAACCATCACTTATAATGTTAAATAGGAAAATATGTTTTAACTTCCTAATAAGCTATTAATATACTAATAAATGTATTTCAGGAATGCCTTAAAAAAGTTTAATGCTGGATTATGCATGCAGACAGTAATTCACCAGTATTGCATATTCAAACAATGGCAGCCACAGGCTGTGCCCTTCTCACACTTGTGGGCAGTTCTACACAAGGATAGCTATGATACAGAGGGAAGTGGGTTCCATGAAACCCCAATACAGTGTGCCCCTAACAACCTTCCACTGATGACAGAATGCCAGCGAAGTTAATTAAAAATGGAGGGCCTGATTTCCTAAGAAATTCAATCTTCCCAGAAATCATGAAGACAAAAAGTAATCCCTAGGTGCAGAAGAATTGGATCAAAGGCATCCCAGGCCAGTCAGTCTCATGAGCCCTGCACTCAAATCACCTACCACCTGCCTGGCAGCCACACCAAGACTCTGACAACATGGGTCAGCTACCACTACAAATCAGAGTGAGAAGAGCCTTAAGACAAGTCTTAGAGAAACTAGCCATGGTCCCAGACACCTTGCCCTCACTAGAAATTTCTTTAACATTTCTTGTATCCTGTCAAGGAACCTCTGGAATTTTCTACTCCTCAGTTCTTCTCAGCAGCTGAAGAAGCAGATTCTAATATAGTGGGAGAGAAAAAAGCATTTTGTAGACTCAGGGAGACACACGCTTTGGGACTTAATAGCATTTACAGGATACTGAATTATATTGTCTAAAGCAAAGACAGTGGCTATTAAATAGGGATGGGAATAAAAAACCTAAAAAAATTAAAATACCAGCTGAATGCAAGGATGCTGCAGTAAGAAATAAAAAGGAAATTTAGAAACCTCTGTAGCAAGCTTTTTGATTGCCTTCAACAAAAAAATTGGCATGGGTACAGAAGAAGGCTTGAAAAGCCACAGAGCTGCTTCAATACCTTGCAAAAGTTCCATTTGGGAAAACAAAAATAACTTTGTGTATAATGCAAGTATGTACACAACATAAATAGCATAAGTCTCTGTAGGAAAGGAAATTCAAAAGACAGAAAATGCTTTCATTTGTTAATAAAGAAGGATAGATTCAAGTACTACAGAAATATGATTGTACCTATAGGAAAAAATAACAAAATACAGTCCAATTTCATTGCCCTCTGCAGATATTACAACACGGACTGCCACACAGTCGCCCACTCTACTGCTTGTATTATATTTGCGAGTAATTCCTTTTGGAGCCTAAACTACAATATATTAACAAAAAAGCTTTAAATCCTGTGGCACAGTCATTCTTACTAGAGGATATTTCTGTTTTCATTCAGCCTAAGAAACAACAGTACATATGAACACACGCTTTTGTGTTCATATTATTTGCAGTGGGGACAAAACAAATAATTTACTAAACTAAGAGTTCAATAAATGGTGGTGGATTCATGGGTTGAAATATTATATAGGAAATAAAACAATGAAAAAAAACATGCCTTTTGAAGCTATTATGACAGAATAGATGAGACAGGGCAGTTGACAAAGTGATTTAGTTCTTAAAATTGAGGCTGAGAAAGAACTCTATCTGATGAGTGCCTTCCAGCTTTATCATCTGATACTGAAAGTTAGATGTGCTAGATATCAGAAGACAAAAGGGACAAGCTCACTATTGTAACAACCCTTTCTTGGGATAGCTCATCTACTCCCCAAGAGATCTAATCACCCCTTATTATATATTCAAAATCACTGTATAAATGTGGAGTATCTGATAGAAATTGTGAGAGGATGCAAGATGAAAACAGTGGGCATTCCAGGAGAAACTTTAAGAAAAATTTCCATGACTAAATCATCATTTAACCAAATTTATAATTTTTAAATGGAAAAAGAAAACCTGACTTTAAAAAGAGCCCATCCGATTCTTGACCTATTTATTGCAATGGAGAGCTTACACATCACTGAATGGCAGAGGAGACCATCAGGTGCACACAGAGGATCACCTGGAACAGCCAGGCTAAGTGCCACAAGATTTTCGTAATCCATCTTGAACTCTATTCTCCCAGTCTCATATGCACTATTTATATGACTCTGGTATCCAAGTCAGGCTGGCATTAAAACATGTAGATGATATATATGTTAATGCAAATTAAATCTACCTTCCTTCTAAAATCTTTCTCTTAGCGAACCTATTTAGTGTAACTTAATACCTTAAAATATTTTAATTTTTTTTCACCCAGTCCAATCAGAAAATGCTGTAAGTTGACTAATGTGGATATTAAGTATTATTGGCCATTTCTTATCTTGGTTTTAAAACTAAATGATAAAATGTTACTTGCATAACATTTGATTACACTGAGTTTCTCCTCTCTGTGGGAACCTGATGGTAAACCTCGGTGTTTAATGCTTCCAGCAGGTGTGGATCTGCTTGGCTTCCTCTCTAGCTGCCTGAATTAGAATTACTAAAGGATTATTTTAGGAACAGCCTTCTGTGGAATTCTGACTTCCAATGTAAATTAGCACACATTTTATCTTCATGGACAAAAATCTAAGCAAAGCCTTTACTGAAAAATTAAAGATTATGTGAAATTCCCAACTTATTCTGCATAATGTAAAAATAAAACATGATTTTAAAATAGCTTTAAATTTAAATTCAGCCACTGTCATGGGGCATTGGTTGCCTACATTTTAGTAAATTTCTCCTGAAGTAAATTACCCAAACCTCTATTTTTTTTCTTGCAGAAATGAAGAAAGTCAAACTTCTAAAAATATTTCAATATTACTTACAATTCAATGAACCCAGTAACTGTGGAAGTTATGTAATGTTGATATTGGTTTCATATAACACTTGTTAAATTCAAAACTTGCCCCTGGAATGTTTGTGAAAGTACTTTGGACAATTTGCTCATGATTGCTAGCATTAAATGGCAGATTTAGTTTCATTAATTTTCAGCAAATTAACCCAGAGTTAAGAGTTCATGTTTGCAAGGCCAAAGCTGGAAGTGTCTATTTGTTCTAAGCTGGTAAATATGACCTTGAACTAAGGTAAGACAATAACAAATTATCAAGGTGATGGCATCTTGTCAAGTCCACCATGGACTCCCTGTTGTTCCTTGCACCCAGTAGGCACATTTCTGCCTAAGGACATTTGTTCTTCTTCTCCTGATGACTGAAAGACTGCATCTGAGAGAGTGGACAACCCACTCTTCACTTCATCCAGGCCTCTTAGGAAATTTCTGCACCCTCAGAAGGTGTTCCCCGGCTTCCTTCCTATCCTGTGCCTTTTACCACTCTGACTTCTGTTATTTGCTGTATATCCACCTGCCACATATCATATTTGTTTGTTTACTTTATAACCCATTTCTCCACAATGGAATGCATACTATATTAATAATCTGGACTTTATTATTTCAATACAGTAAGCCCAGCAACTATAACAGTGTAGGCATATAATTGGTGCTCAGTAAACATAGATAAGATGAAGAAAGAATGAATGAGTGAATGAACAAGGATAGCTTAAATGATTAAAGTTATCAGAAATGCCAGAGATCATTTCTCTGTTAGTAAAAAGGTTATGTGACTTGCCTTTTAAAGAAATAATCTTGCATATTTTATGCACAGTATATTGGGCTCCAAACTAGAGCTTGACCATATGCAGTCAAAACGGAATTTCACAGACTAGATACAGGCTGCTGCCTCGAATGAAATCTCTCCCCTTTCTGCAACTACAATCACAATTAAAAATCATTTCCTGGAATGGTTCAGAACTAACCATATGCAAGATCAATTTTCCCCCGAATCTTATTCTTTAGCTTTAACTTTTATAAATTATGTACTCTCTTGTACTCTAGCTTTTGTATCTTTTCATCCTTGTGGTTTTTATTATTACTTTTATGGTTAGATTTTTGCTATCTGCTCTTGTGCTTCGTCTTCCAACAATACCCTCGTTGAATGATGTTACATTGCACTGACCAAAATCATTTGCATAAAGTACAGAGTAATGTGAATAAATAAGCAACTGACACCTTCAAAGTCTAAATGGCCTAGTGCCAAGAAGAAACTATGTGCTGTGACAGAGACCAGCTCCCTACTTAGATTAAAATGAATGCTAAACCTATCTATACAAGGTTTCACTGCCTCGTGAAGAGAGGAAGAGGAGCAGGTGATTATGAAGAGGGACTTGAGCTGGGGTTGCCCGCTCCCACTGGTGGTTGATTCTGCTGCGCATACCCTGACTGCCCCAGAGAGAGCACAGTTGTTTTGAATTCTCATGAAGAGCATGAGACTATTGTGTGAGCTCCTGGACTTTTCTGACCACAGGAGGACGACAGCAGCAGCTCCAAAGAGCATCTGGCTGGGGCACTTGGGATCTAGGGCTGTGAGTCACTGAACAAACAAATGTCTGCTAAGCACCCCAAAAGAAATGCCATTGGGTTAGTTGATTTCAGTTCCAAATAAGCCAATTCATGCAGGGAATCAGAAAGATGTACATTTGGGGCTGAAAATATTTATATGAAAACATGAATGTGAGAGGGATAAGAATCTGGGCCACCCTGGTATAAATATAGGATCCCATTAACTGCTGTGACTAAAAGTATTAAAATCACAAGAATCCCAACCAGAAAACGTCAAATTGCACCCCAAACATTTCTGACTCCTTTCAACATTTCCCGTTTTAATTTTGTGTAGCCCAAATAAAATGCGGAACAAGAAAGACAGCAGCAGGGAAGCCACATACCTGTGCACACCACTGCTACACATGATAATGTGACAGGCACCAAGCCTGTCACACAGCTCCGAAGAAACCGACAGCAGCCCAACTCCAGAGGCGCTGCATGCTGTGTTCACACAGGCAGCTGTGCGTTTGGATCTGATGAATGAAGCAACCAGCCGGTAAAGTTCATCTAAAGAGTTGAGAGGCCTCATGAGCTGAAAAGAAAGAGTGCAACATGCTGGGGAGGAATCTCCTTAGACGGGACACGATTTACTTGTCACAGCTTTTAGATGAATGGCCTAAAATAACATTTTATGACTGAGGTAACACACTGGGGACTGCAAATGTCTATAATTCGTGCTCAAGAAGAATGGCAGAAAAACTAAGAGGGAAGTGTGTGGATGACAACATCAATAAATGTAATATTTTTTTTTACCTTATCTACGTAGGCAGCTTTGGAAGTGGAGCTTGGTGGTGAATTTGACTTGTCCAAGTAGAATGCCCTTAAGAAACCAAAGAAACACTCATTTATTACTAGGAAAAAATTTTTAAATCTTAAAATGCTTGAAGATGTTCAATTTTCACAAACTTCTGCTTAAAGATAAGTAAATAAACAAGGGCACTGAACACTAGGGTGGCAGGGGTTGGACAAGGTCAATGATTACTTTTTAAAAAATAGAGCTGGCAAGATGGCTCAGTAGGTAAAAGAGCTTGATGTGCAAGCCTGATGACCCTGAGTTCAATCACTGTATCTACTGCAGAAGGAGACTGACTCCCCAAAATGTGTATCAGCTATGCCACAGCCCCCACACACCCACACTCACACACACACATCACACTCACACACAGAGAAACATGAACAGTACATGCACAGGGCATTATTCTCATTAGTAGTAGAGTTTGGTTTTTGTCTTTTTAAAAAAGTTTCATGGATTAATGAGGTTCTATAATAGATTAGGAAAGTTCATTCCAAGAACCATTTCCAAAATGACAATTCTGTTCATTCTTGTTGAGAATTGATTTCTTCTTTTCTAAACGGCAGATTCAGCTTCTCTTTAAAAGTAGTCGTATATAATTCAGCACCCAAGGTTGGCACATTAGAAGTCAGCCTGACCTCCTGACATTTATTTCCAAGGCCCATAGCCGGAGTTACAAAACTACCAATTGCTCTTGGGCACACTGCCACCCGGAGAATGGGGACCATCCAACACAGTAATCAGGTCACAGTGACATGAACTATACACACCCATCAAATGCCAGGAAAAGACAGTTCTGTTGAGCTGACGAATTACTAGGTCAAGAGCAAAACCAAAAGGCCTTTCAGACACCAAATAAAAGTTGTCCCTAGATTTTACCCAGGATCAGAAAAAGACAGCAGTAATCCAAAAGGCATGCTGTTAACAGAAAAGGTAAAAAGCTTGAATTCTGTGAGGTACAAAGAACATGCAGTGGAGCTGAGCTAGGTGGGGGAGAATGAACAGCAGGGTCAAGACGGGGTAGACAGTGAGGGCCGTAGGTCTGCTAAGGAAACTGGACTCTTCTTCTAAGGGAGCGGGGCCACCTAATGGAAGTGACCATGCAGCTTGAAACTGGCGTGGCTGTTCCATAAACGTTACACTATGTCCGCACTTGGTCTTGAAAGCCTAACATTCTTTTCGTTTCAAATAAACAAAGATATACGTACTGTAGTATGAAACCCATGTACACACCACTATGCTTAACAAATCATGACATTTTGCCCTTTGCTTTAACTTTCACAGAAGTAAATACCACAGAGACAGTCAAAATCCCTGTTGTTCATCCTCCTCCATTATTTAGGCATAGTGGTGCACACCTTTAACTCCAGCACTCCAGAGGCAGAGGCAGGCAGATCTCTACGAGTTGGAGGCCAGCCTGGTTTACACAGTGAGTTCCAGGCCTGTCAGGGATAAAGGGGGAAAAACAAACAAACAAACAACAACAAAAAGACCCTAAAGAAAGAAAGCTGACCGCTGGCTAGAGTGGAGGTCCTGCAGAACGCGTGTGCTCATTCTTTACAACCTTATCTACTGAGATACTCCTAGATTTTCAACCTTCCGCTCTTTGGTTTGAATTTGTAAATATCTCTCGGTGCTTTATATTTCTTCTCTTATTTCCTTGTTCCCATTTCTTACTTTCATGTAGTCTTGCATTTTCTTTCTAATAGAGAGTACTTTTATGTTTTACAGAGTTAATAACAAAAATTTCTGCTTTTCTTTTTTAAATGTCACACCTTCTTTCTTGTCTTAGTTCTTCAAGTTTTTCAATTTTACAAGCTGCTTATTCAATTCATACTTTCAGTTGCTTTCAGTGCATACTGTGACATAAAATTCTAAAATTTAAATCAGCAGTTTCTCTCCAAGAATACTGCTTTTAACACTGGATTTTAATTTATGATCTGTGGAGTTTGTATTTTTCTGATCGCTAAAACTTTCTGTTTATTCTCTGTTCTCAAGTTTAACTACAGGTGTTTAGGTCACATTTATTTTACGTATCCAGATAGGCTCTCGGATTGTACTTTTCAATATGAGGAACCTTGTTTTCAGTTCTAAAATGATCTCAGTGATTAATTATTCTACTTTTTTCTTTCCACCAATATTTCAATAGACATATTGTTCTAGTTTGTTTCAAATTGCTGTGACAAAACACTCTGACCAATACCAACTTGGGGAGGAAAGGGTTTATTTGGCTTATAACCCAATATCACAGTTCATCACTGAGGGAGACTAAGGTAGTCACTCAGGGCAAGAACCTGGAGGCAGAAGCTAAAGCACAGGCAATGGAGGCAAGCTGCTTACTGGCTTGCTCCCCTGGCCCCTGATCAACCTATTTTCTTATATAACATAGACCCACCTGACCAGGGATGGCACCACCCACAGGGACTGGGCCCTCCCACATCACTCAATAATTAAGAAGATGCCTCACATACATGGCCATAGGCCAGTCCAAAGGAGGCAATTGACCAATTGAGGTTCCCTGTACCCAGGTTTATTAAGTTGACAACTAAAGATATCCAGCACACATTTGTTCACAACTTTTCAAGTGTTCTAGGCAAACACATGTGCACACATCACACATACTCATATGTCCTCCCACCATACATACATATATCTCATATATACACACAGCACACACACACACATCTCACATACATATAAACATACCACATATACATGCAAATCCTACATACCACATCCTACATACACACACATACTATATACACACTCCACTTAATACATCTTATATATGCACTCACATGTGGCACACATAAACACACACATGCGTACCACTTTCTTTTAATACTATATCTGTCCATTGTACATTTTAGGTGATTTCCTCAGTAAAACCTTGCAAATGTATAACTCTGTCTCCATGTCAAGTGTATAACTTCTCTTTTATCACAAATTTTACTCTAATGATTATTTCCAAGTTTTCTACCTATTCTCCATTTATTTCTATTAAGGTTAACATCCCCATTACATCATCATTAAAAAGTTGACACCTCCATCATGATACATCATCCCCACATGGCTATAAAGATTTCTGCTCATCTGTAGCTTGTGATAGTGTCATATCAATAAATATTTGCGAGTAAATGATAATTGGAAAATTTATCATTTTTGTTTCACAATTTTCTGAAATGATGACTGACATTTTTTATTTATATGTGA